AAGGTTGGGTTACAGTTGGAAATAGTTTTATTTTTTATAACATTTTTCTGTTTGTTGGCTATTTTCTTGAATATTATATTAGATAGAAAGAAAGTATAAATGGCAATAAATGTTCAACTAAGTAAGATCTACAGATAAGTCAACATGAATAGAATAGTCAATTAACCCCTTAAGGAGTTATTGCCCTTAAAACTTTTGTTTAACATTTTTTGTAAAAGTCTAATTACTTTTTAAAAATTCTTCGTCTCTGAAACTACTAGGCCAAATACTTAAAAACTTTAATTAAATGTTCCTTAGGGTATCTTGTTTATAGATTGTATTCGAGGATTTGATCCATTCAAAAACATGGCGGTAGTTTCTAAAAATAGAACATAGGGGTCAAATGAAGTTTTTGGCTTTCATCTCGAAAACTAAAGCAGTAAGAGCAAAACTGACCTAGGTGAAAGTGTTAAACAGGTTTTGATCTACCTTTCAAGTAATCTTCAGACCAATAGGACAATTTATTGTTGGGTTACTTGATATAAGAAGATGTGGTATGAGTGCCAATGAGACAACACTCCATCCAAGTCAAAATTTATAAAAGTAAACCATTATAAGTCAAAGTACGGTCTTCAACTCGGAGCCTTGGCTCACACCGAACAGCAAGCTATAAAGGGCCCCAAAAATTACTAGTGTAAAACCATTCAAACGGGAAAACCAACGGTCTAATCTATATAAAAAACTAGAAACACTTATGAACCACATCAACAAACGACAACTACTGTCCAGAAATAGTTATTTTTTAGGAAATTGTACATTTTTGGGTTATGTATTATCTTTAATATTATAGAAAGAGAGAAAGTCAAATGCCTGAAACTGAAATTACAGGTGAGCGATATCAGGCTCTCATGAGCCTCTTGTTATCTAATTCATTTTTTTTGAGTCAGCTGCAGACCTCCTCTTGCCTAACAATCGTCTAGCATCGTATATTTGTATATTATATTTCTGAAATTAATGATTCAATTTGAAATCGAAGTTCGCTTTTTACAATTCATATTGATGACCTGTAGTGTGGTGTTATACATAATATTTATTTTGACACTGTTCAAAGGTCGGTTGTCCTCCCGAAACTCCGGCTTCTTCTACTAATAAAAAACTGACCGCCACGAAATAGCAAATAGTAATGAAAGTGGCGTTAAACAACAAACAGTCAATCAATCCATCAAACTTAGCACAGCTGACAAGTTCTTACTTCTGTGGGTATATTTTACTCATTGATTGGCTGACATTTCAATTTCCGAAAAATCATTAAATGACGTGCTGCTTTCACCTGGTTTACTTTTATAAATTTCTAGATGTATCTTTATTTCACACAGGATCACAGATGTACATATTCATGGCTCTCACAGTTTACCTCTTATGTAAATCCACATGAATCATATTTTATATGCAAACATTATGTCAATTTCTCTGTGTTAAAATTGAAATAAAACTGCAGAATTGTTATTCCCATTCTAATGCAAAACGAAAAGAATTAATGAGTTAGAGCCTTCAAAATGTATAACATTAAACTGAAATAAAACTCGAAAAATACCATGAATGATCTTGGTGCATTAACGTCAGGTCAAAACAGCACGTTATACAAATGAGAACTCTAAGGAAGATTTCAATTCCGTTATTGTGACCATCCACATTCGGATAATGTGTCATTAAAAGGGAGTTATGAGGTATGAATTGTTTCATTTTTAGTCGGTTACATTATTTACACGTTTATGGATTTCAGCAAGTTAATTTTGTGGCTCACTCCTTAGTTACGACATTGCAACTGTTAAATTGACGGTTGATATAAACTGACGAAACATATATCAAATAAAGATTAAAATTGTTTGGGTTGACAATTACAATGGTTTAGTATATATCTAGAGTTTATTTGAAAATAATCATGCAAGCGCTATATTTATTGGAAATTTTTTTTTAATAATTGTATCTGTCCAATGAGGAAAGCATACCGGATGGCAATTGAACAAAGGGTCAATTATTATGGTAGAAAAAAAAGAATGTTTTCAATATTCATAACATTAAACGTTTTTTTTTAGTTTTTAAGGTCTTTACGATTGTTTAAACAATCCATTTATCTGCCAGTGTTGTTTTAAAAAAAATAAGGTCAATTTTTTATAGATACGATTTAAATAACCTGCAATCATCATACATTAATTAACAAAACTTATTATCCAAAAGTTTTTTTTCAAGTTGGCGTCATAATTTGATCAGGATCATTGCTGATAGAGTTTTTGTTCTATGTATCATATATCTACTGTAAAAGAATAACAACCTTTAATTACTTACATATAAAAGTTCGATTGGTAGAAATATATACACCCATTTAAAAAGATATGATACAATAGCTTTGGACATTTTCAATTACAGTCGATGTATAGAGCAATTATAAAGTGTTACAATAACTTCAATTCTAAGTTAATGTGAGTATTTTCAAAAGAGTTCGTGGCATTAAAGGAACTATTTCACTGCCGGTGGTTCTACCTGGTGTTTGTAATGATTTTAATTGTGCGTAGCGTAACGTTATACTTTAGTATGCCGGGTGTAACGTCACAACCTTGGTTACTCTATGTTATGCATTCTTATATAGATTCTAATATATGTTACATTGTTATATTTGTTGACGAATACATGCCTAAGTTATTTCATTGGCGACGAGGATAAAAGAAGACGAAAAGCGATTGAAAGAAGAGATTCAAAAGCATAAGGTAGATGAATGGCTGAAAGAATGACAGTTGTGACAGAAAACAGAAATTTAAGAACTTTATCAGTCACACCGTCGGATGATCATCTAACCACATTAAGTCAGTTGGAGGAATGGCAAAACGGCCTTCAACAATGAGATAAACCCATGCCGTATAGATGCAAAGGGGAAACAATTCAAACGAGAAAACTAACATCTTTATTTATAACAAAACAATTAACAAAAGACAAATATGACAGATACAAACTAACGACAATCGCTCAACTATAGTCTACTGGCCCGACACAGGCACATAAACAATTAGACGGATTTAAACATTTCTGTAGGCTTTCAGACCTCCCCTTACCAGGGACAGTGGAGTAACATCACAACATAAATACAAACTGTAAACATCTGTTGCAATTGGCTTAACTCAAAAAGTGTGTTCGAAGCACAAAACAAATAACATAAAAATCACAGATATAAGAGCATTTTCTGTTGCTGAAAGCTAGTTCTAAGCCGATTACAACTAATAGATGAATCATGTTCTCTCAGACTAAAGTATCAAAATGTATTTTTGGATCTCATTGTCAATCTTATTAGTATGAAGGTTTAAGTATATCATTCTTTCAGTCACATTTTAACTATAGAGAGTAATTAAAAAAATGTATGCGCATACACATATCAAAGTCTAGCTTACAATAAAAAAATAGTTTCTAGTTATACTTACAGTAAACATTCATTATATGTTTGACCTCCTTGTCTAATGTCCACAGAGGATGCTGACTGATACATAAACATTCTTTTCCATTATCGACTTTGGTAACGATGAATTCTATGCTAGATACAACTTTATCAGTAGGTTGGGTGGTCGATGGTATAACATTTTTAAAATCATGACACTGCCAAACAATAGTGGGTAATGGATTACCTCCTGATACAATACATGTTAGTATTACCCTATCTCCATCAATGATAGCTCCACTTGGTGTTTGTATTACTGCTGGAGCGGAAGTTGGGACATCTAAATGCAGTTTATAAATATATTACTTTACAAATATCAGAAGCATGAGCACATTGCCAATATTTAAATCTTATCAATATATCTTTAATATACATGATTTAAAATAAGATATGAGGAAATCGAATGAACTCCAGGTTAAGAAAAACAATGACCTACCAGTGTTCTAAGTTGATCAATTTTACCTTCAACATACTTAAATAATGTAGCAAATATAAAAATGTAGCAAATATATGTCTTATCGTTTGTAGTTAGAATTCTGTACTTTCAGTACATTTCACATATCTCTTATTTGTCAGTATAGTCGAGTTAATTTCCATTTTCCATGGATACAGTATTGTGTTAGTCCAAATAATTATGACGTCGTCACATCATTTATCTAAAACAGCCTTTCCATACCGTCATTATCATGAATATTGTTTGGACTAGTATTGTGAAAACAAATGTATAAATTTCAAGATTTATATTCGTTACACAAATACGTCTCTGTTTGTAATGTCCTTTGCTGTCTGTCGTTAATGGAAGATGTTCGTTGTTATTCTACGGTTTACATGGTGTAACGACTATTATATTATTTTTTTGTGCGCTTCTCTGTGACGAGTGTTCTTGCGTTTTGTTTGTGCTGTATTTATGTCACGCAGTGTTGTCAAATTAGCGATATTTTTTTACATTGCCATATAACCAGGAGGTTTGGCTAGCCATAAAATCAGGTTCAACTCATTATGTTTTCTTAAAATGATCTGTACCAAGTCAGGAATATGGCAGTTGTTATCACATAGTTCGTTTCTATTTATGTGGCGTTTGTTTTTGTTGCACTTCAGTGTTTCTGTTGTTCCTTTGTTTACCTCTTATAGTTGATGTGTTTCCATCGGTTTTAGTTTGTAACCCGGATTTGTTTTCTCTCAATCGATTTATGACTTTTGAACTGCGGTAAACTATTGTTGCCTCTATTAAATTAATGTAGCAAATATAAACATATTTTAGCAAATATAAACATATTTTCATGTTAAAAATGACTTTCAAAACAAGTTCGCTGCTTCTTCGTTCTGACATTGCACTTTTTGTTATATATCAACCAATATGGGTTAACATATTTTAACTTCAGATTTGAAATACATGTTACCAGATATATTTAAATGCTTGTTACACAAATTTAATTTTGTTATATATGAGTAAACTTACATCTGATTAGTAGTGTTATACTTGACGATTTAGTTTGCGTCCATGCGGGATGGGAACCAGTACATATGCAAAACTGACCATTATGACTTTCTGTGGCTATTAACTGAACACTTGACACAGATTTGTTATTCGGTGGAATACCTGTAGGAGTGACAAGTGATGTTCCATCACACTGCCATACAATATTCGCAAGTGGATTACCTCCCAGTATTTCACAAGTCAATGTTATCTGTTCATTTTTATCGACAGCACCGTGAGGTATCTTTGTTATGGATGGTGATGCTGGAGGATCTGAAATAAAATAGCATAGTGTATCCGTTTGCATTTCAATCACCAAAGTTATCTCAGATCAATGATAAACACATTAGCTGACCATGTCTGTTATTGTGGTAAACATAGTGAATATTATATGAATACCACTGAATACGTAGAACGATATATTATAAGAGACATCTCAAAAATGATTTGAGTACATTAACCACTTTTCCATCATAAACTTTTAAACAACTATGTAGTACTATATATACGTAAAACTATCTAACCTTAAGTCATAGACGGACAAACTATGTCTCATTCAATTGGCCCTGAGGCTTCAACTAGCGCACAACTTATTTGAAGATTGTAAGGTGTTTTTTCCGTTGTCATATGACCTCTCACAAAAGCAATGTGCCTTTCAACAAAGAACGTAAATAACAAATAACAAAAACCGAATGTTCACAATTTGTGAACCTAAAATTTATCATTTACCATTAATCAAAACAAAGATCAATGTCTGCTGAAAGCACGTACAAAAATGGTTCGTGAACAACATGAATAATGAGGAAGACCTGTTCCCTTAACATGACATTCAAGTCAAGTAATATTATTGAAAAGGGATTTTTTTTCGAGATTATTTTTTACCTTTTAGATAACTTCAACATGTTAATGTAAAAAGAAATAATGATGTTAAACAATAAGTGAAATTCACTTCCTCTTTTTTTTAAATAGGTTATGTCCTAGGCGCACGAGTAGAAATTGAATTGAGAATTAAGTTAAGCTTAATCATTTTAACGTCACACTGTAAATATGCATATGCTTTATTTTATCTGTCATTCGATTTAAAACTTATTCAACGTAACGGTTGCTTTCCTTGATCAATTTGTTGTGTGTATTGTTTAAACATATTTTCGAACCAACACTAGTTTACTGTAGACGAGTGCGCGACTGGCGTACACAATATTATACCTGGTAACTATAAAGAGTTTATGTAACTTTGTTTTAATATCATAAATCAATTAGGAAAATAAAAATCAAGTGAAATAAAACAAAACTTACGGAATTGAATGAACTTGGACAGGAGTAAAACCGGACGCGTCGACAGATTAAGCGTTACTTGCTATGAGTATTTCACCCTCCTCAGAAATATAGCTTTAGTTAAAATGTTAATATTGGGAATAAAGCACAGCAGGTACATTTACAGTTTAGACAACTTTTATGGTATCTAAAGATTTTCGAATGCAAAAGCATGTCGATTGTGATTTGAGACACAGATACAGCATGTCGGTCAATCAATTCGAAAAGGTGTTCGTACAATGTATGTAGTGTCAGGAATATAACAGTTGTTATCCATTCGTTTGATATGTTTGAGCTTTTGATTTTGCTATTTGATTAGGGACTTTCCGTTTTGAATTTTCCTCGGAGTTCGGTATTTTTGTTATTTTATTTTTTGCAGTCGTTCCTCTTCATAACTCGTTCACATCAGCTTTCAGTCAGGAGCACACACATGTTAATGAATTTTATATAGTATGAATATTTAGGAACAAGATGAATAGATTGAGATAATCAAATACCATATGATTGGCCAGATGGTATGCTACTATAGCGAAATGGGTAGATGCATATGCCAATTGACCAGAACCCCCTCCAAAAATTAAGGTGACCTCAGGTAATCTAGAAAGGTAAGCAGATCCTGATGCACATGTAGCACCAATCCTGTTGCTCATGTAAGTACAAACTCGGTGAAAAGTATAATTCGATGTTGTCAAATTTTATGAAAAGAGGACGGGATTGTGATTACGAGAAATTGAACATGTCCGTCGTCATCTGTGACACACATAATCCATATCGGTCTACAAATTCGTGATGATTTTAACTTCACCACTTAGAACTCTTGGTTTAATAACGTCATTCAAACGAGTTTAACCCCGCCACATTTTGTATGTGCCAGCCCCAAGTCAGAAGCCTGTAATTCAGTGGTTGTTGTTTGTTGTTGTGTAACATATTTGTTTTTCGTTTACTATTTTGTACATACATTAGGCCGTTAGTTTTCTCGTTTGAATTGTTTTACATTTGTCGTTTCGGAAACTTTTATAGCTGACTATGCGGTATGGGCTTTGCTCATTGTTGAAGGCCGTACGGTGACCTTTAGTTGTTAATTTCTGTGTCATTTGGTCTCTTGTGGAGAGATGCCTCATTGGCAATCATACCACATCTTCTGATTTTTATATTGTAAGCAGTAATTCTCCATCAAGGAAATCACGATAAGAAATGCAACCTCCGGAATATAGTTATGATCGTGTCAACTGGGGGATACATTGGTATATTCATGCAATATCCGCTGGAATGTTGCTACATATAAATTGAAAGTTCAGAATTCGAAATTATCTCTTTTGTCGTACAATTTTGTTCTCATTTGACCCTTATTTTTATAAAAGCAAATTGCCCCGACCTGTGTAACTGTCCTAACGAGAATACATTACTTATTTTGTCTTAATGACTATGGAAATAATGGCAGTGTATTACCTCACTACTCAAGCATTTGTTAACAAAAAAACAAATAGTTTTGATCAGAAATTTACACACATTACGTCAACTACCATATTCTTGGTATATCAATGTTATTATACCTACAAACATTGCATCCATCATCATATCAGTGGTTTATGAATGACACTACACTCGCACACGTTACGTGGTGCCTTAAGACTACTACACTGATAGACATTACATACATCATCATATCCAGGGTATATAAAGGTCACGAAACCAACATGTATTACACCTAGTACCATACCCGATTACCTGTGATATGCTACTCGTACATACATAATCCATTTAACAAGATACACAAATAAGGACATGTGGTTTGATTGCTAATAAGACAACCATCCACAAGGGTTCGCATAAAGCAGATTTTAACAATAAGTGGTCAACGTACGGCCGTCAACACTGGGAAAAAACTATACCGAATAGCAAGCTACTAAAGGCTCCAATATGACTAAATATAAAACAGTTCAAAAGAGAAAATCAACGGCCTGACTTATGTACAAAAATACAAGCGAAAATCAAATATGATATACAGCAACAATCGACAACAACTGAATTAAAGGCTCCTGACTTAGGCATATTCAGAATGTGGCGGAGTTATTCTTACGTATTCGTGCCCAACAATCCCATAATATGAGACAGTGGCGTAACAGCATAACATACGAATGGTATGGATAATGTAGTATTCTTTATATACATATGATATGGTTGTGTAATACATGTAGGTGTGTGTGTTTTTTTTTTTTTTTGCACGAATACCACGGATATATTAGTCTTTATATACTAATGATATGGTGTTGTATGGTACTATATGTATGTGTAGTAGCCTTAACATACAACTTATATTGTGGTGGATGCAATGCCTGTACGTGTAGTAGCCTTTATATACCTCGAGTTTGGTGTTGGGTGTAAATGTTGTGCATATAGACTTTACTTTTGGTGGGAGTGTAATTTTTGCACATAAAGACTTTACACATGATACATGTATAGAAAGGCTATTACATGTACATATCTACTACTGTTTGTCTTTTTTTTTCTTTTCTAGTCATGAAGTTGTCAGTTTATTTTCGACTTATGAGTTTGATTGTCCTTCTTGTATCTTTCGCCTCTCTTTTAGTATTGTGGTGGTTGAATACAATGCATTCCCGCATAGTACCAATTATAAACCATTGGTTTGTTGGTTAGTATCATTTTTGTACGTGTAGTAGCTTTCATACACCTAAGGTATGGATGTATGGTCGTACGTGTAGTAGCCATTAAATACAACGGGAAGTGTGGTTGTTGTAATGTATAGTAACCGGTCTCTATACACCTTATCGCTACTTGGCCGCCATTACTGGACATAACAAAAGTTCCTGAAAGATTTTGACGACATAATAGAAAATATCTGACGCCACAATGAAAAAGTTATTGTTGTATGACGTCAAAAGTTCAAGCGGGACAGATTCTCGGGTCAAGCGGGAATAGCGATAAGGTGTATTCGTTTTAAGTTCGTCAGACGTCCTCTGTTTTTTTTTTTAATTTATTTTGATATGATTACAGAACATCGGTTATCTACTGTCGCTTTGATATATACCGCGTGTATGGTAGAAGAAGAAAATAAATCTGGTCCATCAGTTTAATTTCTGAAGTACAAAACAAATAGGTATTTTTTGGATTGATTATAATTAATAAGGACAATAGCAGTTACTATATAATCAATCAAAATGAGTAAGTCCACGACGTGCCGATATTGGCCTTGTGATACTAGTATGACCAAAAAAAGAAATAGGGTGGATCCGTAATACCTAAATCTAAATATATCGTTATTTGCTAGTTTAGTATAAAATCATATTTAAATAACGTCATTAATGTGCTGTAATACCTACAATCAAACCGGAACGATCAAAATATGAAAATGTTCAAAGAATTTCACACTGCCTGGTTAAATTTCGCATTGGCCATAGTCCTCAACGAAAGTAATTTTAATCTTATTTTAAATGGTTGACACTTTGATGTCGTTTGCAGCAATGATTATTGTACATCGAAAAATTAACTTTTGCTACATGTAACAAATGAATCCGGATTCAACGCTGTCATTCCGGAATACGATAGATTCTGTGACGAAATAACACTAACTCTATAATGAAATTATTCAATTGTTATAAAAAGAAATAGATTCTGTAGTTCATCTTCTTTTCAATTGAAATGAATTTACTTAGCATCATTTTTGTTTGTTGATATTGGAATTTCATCGCTCATGTTTGTTGCACGTCCCAACACTGAGAATTGTAATGTCAAAGTTTTGCCATGTCACTTTATCATGGTTAAATACCATTTAAAAACTAATCTGAAGCCCTGTCTCAGTTTACACAACACGAGTCCCGAAATGTAAATCACGGATTTAGCGAAATTTCGAAATGCAGTATACCCGGTCGTCCGATCCTTGACGTTTCTATAGGGGATTTGGTTTACCTTTATACCGACTGGTCAAAGACCCAATCGAGAGATCGATACCTTGTAGAAGCGCTTGATGGCGAATGGTGTTTCATCAAAAACATTTCAGGCAATCAACTCCGCGCCTCGTCCTACAAAGTAAACTTTCGGAATGTTATAAAGTTTTCAACACCATAACTGTCCATCAATATCCGAGATTCTCACAGAACGAATACGACCAGGAGTCCGATTGTGGTGACTATGCTGAAGAGAACCTCCCTGGGCCTATCCCTGACCGCCCATTAGTTCGCGCAGAGCCCCCTCCTATTTTTATTTGCGAACATATCGACGATGTTGAAGGTCTCGACGAGTCGACTGAGCTATCTGATTATATTCATGAACGTGACATGACAGATAGTAATGTCAAGCAATGAACAAGGTGACAAACGCATTCTCCGTAAGCGCTCCGAAAACGCCAGCGCGGTTTAAAGATTTTATTGTGTGTTAGATTTAATGCTAATTCGTCGTAGGCTGTTAAGATAAGTTATTTTTTCTCAATTTCTGTATTTCATTTACTGATAATCATATACATGATATATGTTTATTACATGCACATTTTTTTTGTTTAACTACTTACAATATATATATATATAGGTTTGAACGTTGTTTTCAATTTAGACTTATTTATATTTTTTCGTTTGGGCTTGTATTATATTTACCTTCGGGTTTATATGATCCGTTCATCCTATTTCAACTCTTCAAAATTCAAGAGTCTCCTAAATTGAGGTAAACTATATGGCCTTCCAAATACCGTTACGATTCCTAACATCACTGAAGAGACATTAATTGTCAAAATCAGGATATGGTGTACAAATTTTTGCACCTCATGTTTGCGGTATACTATCTTTTCAGCAAGTTTATTGTTTTCTGTTTGGTATTAAATTAATAATAAAGATCCATTTTGTTACATCTTGTGATCCGTTTATTAGCCAATGGCAGTCAGAAGGGTTTAAGAACATCCGTTGTTCGACCTGTTAGTCAAATGCGTTTTGTTAAAATATACTTTTTCACTTTTTTGGTCTGTTGGAAAATGTTGTTTGTGCTGTATTTAGACCCCTCTACGAAGAAATTTATTTTGCATGCACACGTATAAAAATTGCGATTTGTATCCAACGCAATAATGGGTTTGAACGTTGTTTTCAATTTATACTTATATATATATATATATATATATATATATATACATACATTCATTCGATCGCATTCGATGGAGATATGGACTTTGTAGGAGAAAAGAAAATTCAGAATTATTTTGTATTCTGATTGATAATAATTTATGTGTTTAGTTTGTGCATATTGATCACATTTATTTTCATTCATATTCTTAAGATAACAACGATTACTAGTTAACAATTGAGAGCTTATTATTTAGATATATAGACTTTAAAGGAAAAAAGAAGTTGCGATAGTATATTGTATTGATTGTTACATGTATTGATTTGTATAATCTCCCTTACTCCATGATTCATGTACATATATGAGGGTTGAGATCTCACAAAACATGTTTAACCCCGCCGCATTTTTGCACCTGTCCCAAGTCAGGAGCCTCTGGCCTTTGTTAGTCTTGTATGTTTTTTTTTTAATTTTAGTTCATTTATATGTTTCGGAGTTTAGTGTGACGTCCATTTTCACTGAACTAGTACACTTTTTTGTTTAGGGACCTACTGAAGCCCGCCTCCGGGTGCGGGATTTCCTCACTGTGTTGAAGACCCATTGGTGGCATATAATAAATAATTTGGCCGGGTAAAAACTGAAAATGAATAACTTTGCACAAGACAGAAAGAAAATGAATATTCTGCAGCACAAAAAGGAAAAAAGTAAGCAAATAAATAATCAATCATAAAAACAAAACAAAATCTTTAAAAATTTATTTAACCTTCAAATATGTGACCCGCCATGACATTTCCAAGCTCATGGCGGTAAACGTCTTAATGGGAATATAAAGTCACGTAACGTGAATGTTCAATTACATCATGCGGTAAAAACTAAAGTTTCATTTTTCTTGACTTGAGAAAATTTGATTCTTATATTAAGATATACAAAGCAAGTAGATTGTTTACGTAAAATTAATAATTTAGGAAAAAATCCCGTTTAGAATCGCGTTCTAAATTCACACAATTTATCTTTTACATTTCATTGCATTGATCTGAAGTAAAAATAATTCTCAAAGTGACCCGAAAATAAACGTTAGATTATCATAGGCATTTCAAAGTGCAGTGTTTATACTTTTTCTTTAATTTATTATGAATACAGATTGCAGCATGAACATTAAGTTATTTGTGTGAATCTCAATGTTTCACTTGAAAGAGAAAATATGAATATATTCATGGACATATACCGGTACATGTAAATCAAGCAAGTTATGCCTGCCCTTTAGGACCCCAATAGTGTCTCATCCCATGTTCGTTCCTATTTTTTTTTTATCAATGTCTGTCTTAGAACTACATAAATAAGATGTATGTGTTGTTGAAAGTTGTCTTGTGTGTAAGTGATTGGTCCTTTTGAAATTGTACTACAAGGTTCCATATCACAAACGGAAAGCTGGGTTTGAGTTTGGGGGTAATTGCCCTAAACTTTGAGGAATTTGGGGCCAAAAAGGGGCCAAAAAAACAAGCATTTTTCTAGTTTCCAGACAATAACTTGTGTATAAGTGTATGGATCTCTCTGAAATTGTACTGCAAGGTACCATACCACAAAGGGAAGGCTGGGATTGAGTTTGGGGTGATGAATCATAAGGGGGTTCAAAAAATTGGGGGGGGGATTTTTTTTTCCATTTTTTTCCTTTTTTTTTCTTTAAAATTTTCCATTTTAAA